TGCAGAATGAGAAGCCAGCAATGTTACCTCATGTGTACCTCGGAAAGGGTGTTATATGAAACTTGACTTGAGGCAAAACAGTTTGGTCTAGTTATGGATAGAGTGGGGATGGGTTAGAACATCTGCGTGGTTTTTGATGTTGTATGTAACTTCACTGAGAAGATTTTCCCTAACCTTCTGTTCTGTGACACCGGGACAAAAAATACCATACTCTACAAAAATGTGTCATCTTTGCTGTTTCCACTGGAGAGATTTCTCGTCACTTTCCCTTCCCTCCAACCTTCACCAGTGCAGGAAATGAATCAAAATGTGTCAGTGGAAACAAAGGAATCAATAAAACCCATCTGCGATTCTATCCCTTCCCTACTCTGTCCAAAACTAAAAAAAAAATGTCTGCAGTGTTAAAGTTACAGGAGGGCACAATTCAAAGGATTCATGAAGTCACTGGACACCTTTAAATTTTAATTGAGATGGTTTTCACTAATTCATCCTACGTGGTTGTGATTACGTGGTAGATTTCTATATTCCATTCATTAAAGACAAAAGTCAATGAAATTCAGTGGCAATATTTTGGGATTGCTGTTTTATTTTTTTTTCTTCACCTTTAACGCACTGCTTCATAATCTATTATTGCTCAGAACCACAGGTTTGGAGCAAGGGACAAATAAGACGTTGTCGAGAGACTACAGTAAGCAAACGAACTCTCTAGATTTCTCCTTTGGACTTATTTAACGAATTAACAACTAACGACAGGGAAATGCCATCTTGTCATTGGAACTTGCAGCTGCATTTGGCATTTCACAGTTGACACCCGTCTCTGGGGCACTTGATACTACTGCGGCCATCTCATGTGACTGCAATGACGGTACCCAGTCTTCTACATCCTTCCTTCCTACCGTAAGAAGATATATGAATTAAGTTTGCGCTTGTGGTGAATTGATCGCAGACTTGCTGTTTGCTCAGGAACGTAAGTTAACATATACAGTATGTATAAATATATTTATTTTTCTTGCCTACATTGGTGATTAAACAATTTGTGCAGATGTTTTGAGGCTTTTATAGTGACGTTCGTGGCCTGTGGGAAAAAGCGGCAGCTGTTTTGTATGCTGAGCCAGTTGGGAATGAAAGAACTGGTGGTGCCATTGAAATGTAGAAGGTCTGAAAGACATCGCCAGTTCCCAGTCAATGTATAGGCTGCGTTCTGCTGTGTGTTTCAGCTGGCAAAACCGCTGCTGCCGGACAAAATGTCTGCAAGGGACCAGTACACCTAAAATGTAATTCCGCCTTTCTTGTAAATATGATATCATAAGGTGGGTTTCTTCCAAAATTTTGCAAATATTTATTTCTCAACAAGTTCTCTGATGCTGCATCGGCTTTTGAATGGGCATTGCACCTAACAGAGTCCGTACATTCGGTTGTGCCTACAAAATGCAGAACTAGACACAGAATTCCATATGTCTACGCATTCCCCCCTTCAGTAACCAATCAGTGAACGTTTTCAGTTAAGCGCAGTGGTTACTTCAAGAGCCCATGCAAGATAATAAAAATGTCTTACAAAGACAATTAGTTTACTTCCTTGCCTTACACATATCTCAATTCCAGAAGGGTGGGATTACGGTGCACTTTATTATTTTCTCCTATGCCATCTGTTCATTGAAAGTGTTTGCTTTCTGCTTTACATTCTCTTTTTATTCTGTATTCGATATGATTTATTTCAGCATCTTGGCAAAAAGTCATGTTTCACAACAGTAATAATAATAGTAATAATAATTTTAAAAAAATTGCACATTTGTTATTCTGTTCTGAGAAGATTTCAGGACTTGACTGGGGAAAAAAAATGATGAATTGAAATAAATTGCTCTTTGGAAATTTTGTAAAGGCTGTTTTTGTGATGTGTTTCATACAATTTGGGGGGATTTTCTCGACCACACCGCAGAGCCTGTGAAACGGCGGCAGACTTAATGAAAGGCTCTGGGACACAAATAATAGGGACCGCGCCGGCTGGTGATAAAACTTGAGTCTGTAACAATAGTACATCCGTGCCAAGGAAACAAAGATAAAAGTAGGATGTTATAAATATCGATGTTTTATTACAATGTACATGGAAGTTACAAACAAACCATGATTATATGCTTTAAGTGATTTATTTATAGACAAATATATTATATCATGAAAGCTTGCTCTGCAGAGTTACAGAGTGCAGGTCCTGTAAATGCTAACAATCACTTCTAAGTTCTTATGAGTCACCCGTGACAATGCATCATGGGAGGAAAGTGGGAACGTGAACTAAACATGTAACATTAAAAAGAGGGCAAACAATACAACATATTGGGACTGAAAATTGTTCAGGTAAATGAGTTCAAATTATGGGAGTGCATTTGTTACTGCCATTAAAAAGTTGTCAGTTGAAAGGCTTTGAGTCCCAGTTGAAAGAGACTTTGTGCAGTTTCCTTGAAGTGTATATTATAGTTATAGATAATATAAATATCTGTTATAGATAAGAGAAATAAGTCAGAATTGTGAGATAATTCTGAGATCTGAGATTTTCCTGAATTCTGACTTATTATTTTAGAACTCCCAAATATTATTTCAAACTTCTAAGTCAGAGTTCTTTTTATTTTTTCCCAGTTGACTTTACACCCTTCTGTAAAAATGGCGGTTGTAAATAGCCCAAATTGATGGTAAGGATGTTTATGGCTACCCTAGATGGCAATAATGAGTGATGGAAGTCTTCGCAATCTTCCCAGCTTGTTGGCAAATCTCTGTGTGGCCTGGCTCCAGAGGATGATCAGCAGTTTCCCCCACCCATCATCCTCAGAGACATCTTTCAATCTTTAGCCAGCCCAACACACAATTGTGTATGTTTCACTGTTTTGTCAGGTAAGTAAATCGTAAAAATTGCCTATTTTTTGTAACCTGTAGAAAGCTGACAAATTTCTATGTATGTCCACCAGTGTTTCAGTGGAAAATATTCATATTGTTGATGGCAACCATTAAATGTCCTTATGAGATGATAATTGCTTGATTTAGGCCAGTTAGGGAGGCAATCATTAGGTGTATGAGTGTGTTTCAGAGGCCCTGTCTGAGTTTCTGAGGGACAACAAATTTTTAGGTATAGTACTTTATTTCCCTGTCTGTGGGATATCAATCATTTGGAGTTCAGATATAAATGTTGTGTTCACCCTGCTAAAAGAGGATGAAGAATACACTAGTGTGAGAAGCCTGAGGTGGAAGCTGTCAGTCTCTGACACTAGTGGCACATACGGTATAAACTCAGGGGCAGTTTCCCGTTGAACAGGGGGAAGTCTTATGCCTGAACCTGGGCCCTAATTTACATGGTAAAACTAAATCAGACAAAAGAGGTTTCCTAGCTAATAATGGCAATATTACCTTGAAAAAGAACTTTTAAAAAAAAAAAGCAGATAGGATTTTTTAAAAATTTAAACAGTGTTGAACTGGCTGGACCCTTAGTGACAAATCCCTGAGGACAGCCAGAGAAAGGGAAACATATGTTAATGATGACATGTTAACTGCAGCAGATTGGTAATTCTAAGAAAAGAAAAATCTGAAATTCCCCTTTTCATATAAAAAAAACCCCATATAGGAACAACTAGTATAATAAGTACTGATAAATAATAGTATCCATGGCAACCAGTCAGTGGCCTCTTTGCCACCTTGATGCATTCTGTTGGGTTCAACTCTTTGGTTTATCTCTCTATAATAAAGATATTCTGTACAGCTCATAGTGTTCATTATAATAATGTATGGATACAGCACTGGAAAAGTATACACCTTCATATTACAGTTGTATCTGTTTTCCACACTGGGAATGCGTTAAATGTTTACTGGGCGAGGCTGCCACTTATGGCCAGGGCTGGCCTTTCTTTCTTAGAATGTCGAGGCAACCGGACGCAGGACTGCCATAGCAGATGTCAAGGCACCGTGATGCAGGACTGCCATAGCAGAAGCTCCAAAGGTCTCTGATAAAATTACACAGGATGTCTTAAATTAAAAATAAACAGAGGTGAAAAAAGCAGCATGGTTTAAACTCTGCAGAATGGAAGCCAATGTAACTCTTTCTGTGTGAGATTTAAGCTAAAACCCCTTAAGAAGAAACAATGTGACAAGCTACAAAGTGCGGTGTGATCAGACAGGTAATAGGAATTGTTTTTGTTAAGTAAATTACTGTGTTTTTTCCTCCTTTGGGAATGAAATCTGCGGATTACTGGTACGTGATGGAATTATTTGCACTGTCATTATCATTACCCAAAACAAGAGGAAACCGTTAATGAATTAGATTTGGGATGAACTGATTAAAGGGCACCTCCAGTGCAAACAGCAACATACACAGCTGAGAGGCATACACATGAAATGTTTTACATAATAACAGATTGTAAAGAAATGCACATCTTCTTGGCATCCCCCACCGCTGTCGTGTTATTTGATTGCATAGGAAGGGTAGAACACTTTTAGAGCCTGTATTTCTGTAGACTTTGTGACACTGCTCCACCTTCAGTCTGCGCCCACAATTAATAGCGCCACTCTGGTGACACCAACGCTGTCTTCTTCCCATAAGCTTACCAGAGCACCTTCCCCTTCCACCCAACAATGTACTGCAAGCCTGGGTTCAGCTTTAAGGTGGTGTGTTTTTTTGTAATGATGCTGGCTGGACTAAAAGAAAATAACCCTTGAGTACATAAATTCATTAAAGAGAGTACCTATTTATATTTTGCTTTATATTTGTTTTAAGTAAAGTGTACTTAGAGGAATATAGGGGCTGCTTTGTGCCTTAGTGGACATGCATTTGCTTGGCGGTTGAGAACACTGCCAAATGCTATGTGGTGTGCAAGTGCTGTCAACCCTTCCTATGCTGATGAAGCTTGTAGTAAAGTAGGGGCACGTGTGTATTACCTTACAATCCTATGATAAGTTATAGACATTTCGGACCTAGATAGACATGTTAACAGTGTATTCAGCTCTTTGGCCAGAGCTGCCCTTTAAAGGTTCGCAGCATACAGTTGAGTACGCTCTGAAGTTATTTTATCCATTGGTTGATAATTGTCTTTTTCACTGCAGAGTGTGGGATTCATGTATGCGCATCCGCTCCCTAGGAGTGTGCAGAACGGCAAGACCTGCAGCAAGCTTTGCTATAGTACCAGTGACTGCACAGGTTTACTTTGATGGCTAGGCTACAGTTGGTGCCAGCCTGATCCTGGCAGCTGTCATCTATAGGAAGAGAAGAGGGCAGATTAGAGTACAATACACACAGCTCTATCTTATCCATTCATGTAGTTAGCTCTTGCAGTGTTAACATTATTCAGTATGAAAAGAAAATCTGGATGTTCGTCCCTTGTTTGTGCGAGTCTCCTGAGGGTGGCAAAGACATGAGCATGTACACGCCTCTTCAACAGGGACAGAAACTAGCAATGTCTCTGAGGAAAAAGGCACAGAATTGGCTTGTGTCTCATTATTATCAGTAGGCTGCATCCCTGTAATAATGATATGGTCAAAGAAGCTGGCAACTCCATTTTATTTGTGAGTGACAGGTTTCCTTTAACAAGGCCCTGGAGCAGAAATAGCAGACTGCCAAGTAACAGTTACTCGCTGGAGAGTTTATTCTTACCTGGAGGGTCTGTTGGGCAAGGCTGCAAGTCGCACGTCTGCTTCCCGACTGGTTTTACCAGCAGATCGCAGCCACGAACGATGTCTCTTCCTTGGAAGCACTTCACATCACGCATCCGGACTCCAACTCCGCATGTTTTGCTGCACTAAAATGTCAGAGGTATAAAGTGGGCAATAATACATACCGGTCTTCAATGTTACAACATATTTACTTACATGGGAAAGCAGGAACTAAGCTTTGGAAGGAAATCCATAGTCCTTTTAATTGTTTTATTTTTTTATGCATTTGAATGTGATCTGTAAAGTATTACTCCTACCAGTGTGTTAATGTTTATACACCTTGTTTCTGTGCTTAGTGTGTAATTATATATGTAACTGGGGGCAGCCATATTTGATCATGACATACGCAGGCTCTTCTTCCTGCTTAGTAGTAGTGCCCAGTAAGGCTGGGCGCACATGGGCAAATTTTGCTAGAGTGATCATCACCCATGATCGCTCCATGAATAATCACTAGCGATTTCTCCACAAAGGGAACAATAGAGTATAGTATGTATTGGCAATTAATTGTTAATGGAAGGAAATGGCTCCTTTGTGTAACCAATCACTATTGTACTGTAGCAATCACTACCAATTTATCACAGGCCATTGCAGGTGATTTTTGTAGCTCAATCGCTCTAGCAAAAATCGCCCATGTCTGCCAAGCCTGATTGTGCATTTCTATTCCACTCTCCTGAAGTGGGACTATCAGTCTGCTGAAATGGATTGAAAACAGTGGACTTGAAGCCAATGCAGTTTAAGCTGAGGTGGCTAATCCAATGTAATGAGCAAATATGGCTGCTTCTTTGTACAAAAATACCTAGAAAGTATACAAAAACATGAATGCACAGAAACTAAACACTGGTTACAGTAATCAGATAACATTTATATGTATATAAAAAATAAATCTTTATAAAGACCAGATTTCCTTTAAATTCAAGAGTACTGGATAGTATACACTAGAGCCTAATCGGGCATTCTTGTATCAATACAAGTACTTTGTCAACGTTCATAGTGTATATTGTAGACTGTGTATATTATTAGTGTTCTGTCCCTAAGGTGTTTGCTGCAAAGCCACACCATAGTGACCCACCTGCAAGCAAGAAATCCCTGATTCCGGCATGAACTGTAAATTGGGTAAAGCAGTGTAGTGTCACTAGACTTGCTGCAGCAATGGCCTTTGTATCACCCCACCCACAGTATGAAGGAGCAGCTGCAGGCACCATACATGTCCACATCGTAGGCTGACATGTTCCTTGGCTGCTTTGTGCCTGAATCTGCTTTGTAGAAACTGTTTTCCAGGTTCTGTGCCAGCTACAGCCCTCCTGCATCTGTTGATGAACTAAAAGTCTCAGCAGGAAGAAATCAGAGCCAGTGGGGCTTGCAGTTCTCATATAGCTGGTACTGTTCTATAAGACAGGCACATTGCAAAAAAGAAAAAAAAAAGACATCCATGGACATGCCAGCTAACTCGGACCAACACCGGTAAATAAAGACCCAGCCTATGTTACAAAAAACCTCCCCTGTACTGTTCTACAAGATGTGCCATCAGTCAGCAGGATGCCATGGAAAGGGGAGATCACAGGAAGAAAATTATGGTGCCAGGTACTGGACAGCATGTTACCCACCCCGTTTCATTGAAATAAGAAAACCTGACTAACAGTGTATTCAGTGATTTCAGAAGCTTCTTACTAAACGTGAATATTGTGCTTTTTTTCTGAAGTTCTGGAATAGTCATACAAATCATAAGAGGTAAATAACATGTATGCCAAAATACAAGCAGCTCAGTGTTTGGGTCTTGGCAGCTGAAGTCCTGTTGGGTGGCTTGGCTAGGCCCTGGATATGCAGAAAATCGTTGTCTGGCATCAACAGACCAAATCTAATCATGTTTTGGCAGCAATTGTGTGTTCACCTAATCCCCAGTGATGTGTGCGCAACCTGAATACGCTTTTGCCCCAGGACAGGAAAGGTCCAAGTCTCCTACCTCAGACCAAGGGGTGGTGTACCACTTGAAACATGGCCTCTCGAAGCAGGTGCTTTCATCTGCTGGTTTTTTGGCAGTGTCACAGTCTGATGGGTTGCGGGTTTTCACTTTGCCATTGGCCACCTCCAGGCACTGGACGACTCGCTGCTTGGACCCCCTGCCGCAGGTCGTGTTACACTGGAGGGATCAAAAGAGCAAAAAAAAAAGGAGTTTTACAGGATAGAAAAGATTTCTGTTGTGGAGCTTCCTGTCCAGCAAAGTCCTGTCTAACACAGTGGAGGACCAGAAGGGGCTCAGTTGCAGTTAACACTTTTTTTTTTCATTATCAAAAGGTTAAAGGAGGTGGAAAGCACCTTTAATAATCCAATTGAGTTTTGGGGGTTGATTTACTAAACCAAACAGGCTGTTCAAGGGGATTTTTCCTGCACATAGTGAAAATTTGCTTTGCAAACAATCCCCAATCTCATGCAAGGAAAATAAAAACATAACTATTTTTGCTTGCACGTGATTGGATGGTGGAAGTCAGCAGAGCTTCACCTCATTCAATAAGCTAAGGGAAAATTCCCTTCCAAAGTGAACGGCCTTATTGCCTTTAGTAAATCAACCCCTTGGAGCCAAAACATAGCTGACGTAGTTCTGAAAAGTATGTGGGGTGCCTTACCCGCTCCCAGTCTTGGCTCAGCCATTGTGGAGGACAGTTCTTGTCTCCACAGGGATGGATAGCCAGGGGCTTGGTCTCAAGACTGCACTGAGACTCCGGAACCACTCGCCCATCGCTGGTTTTGCAGTAGACATGTCGGATCATCTTGCCCTGGCTGCAGGCTCCGCTGCACTGTGAAGGTGAGAGAGATGAAGAAGTGTAAGTGTCTTGCATATATCACATATCATGCCCATTTATTTTGTCCTTATACTGGCCACACTGACACACAAAGCAAACAGATTACGGAAAAAATTAATTCAGGAAAATATATATAACATGTTGAAGATTTAAAAGGAAGAGCAGCAAAGAGAAGGGAAACAACCATGGATTACAGTAAGGCACACATTACAGTATTGTTTTATGTTAAAAAATCTGAGGGTTTAATGTCACTTTAACTTGCCTGGAAGGTGACTATAATTTTTTTACTTACTTGATGTTCCATATTTTTATACCTGTATTTCATATAAAAGGTTTGTAGATTGCCCTTCTTGTGGCTATATGTGTATAATGCAATACAGACAGTCTCCCTGCTTAACAACTAGTGAGATTAAGGGAGTCTTTTGGTTTCATTCTAGCCACCGGAATCCCCAAAATATGATTGTTACTGCCATTCACTGAAGGTCACAGCAGCCTCAAAACAGGAGCAATGCATGCAGGAAAATCTGAAGACTTTTTTAGTCGCACTCACCTAGCACCAGACTGTCATAAAACTGTACTGTAGGAATCTTATAGTAATTAAAATGATAAAAGTCTGAGGAGATTTTATGATTAGGTTTACATTTAAATACGATGTCTGAGCACATGGCTTGCGTCTACAATTTTTGCTTTATTGGGTCAAAAAGGTGGAGTTTCCCTTTAATGACCACTAAAAATAGGAGGTTGCTCTGGAAACCGTTGCCTAGCAATGCCGGTTAGATGCCCACAGAAGAGATTTAGGAGTTGCCTTTCACTTGAAGATAATTGGATTATTTGTAGATTATGAAATCTTTTAATGTGCCGCCATGGTTTTACCAGAAGAGAACACAGGCTGTCTGGAGCTAATGGATTCTCGCTGGTGCGCCTGCGATTCACTCAATGGTTAGATGGCCAGGCAATGTTGCTGGAGGAGAAGATAGCACCTCCATTTGATCACTGTTTGTTTCTTCTCTGTCTGATTCATGTAGCAAGTGTGGCGAAAGAACTTTAGCTGTGCAAGAACAATGTCCAAAATCCACCACAAAGAGTACACTTGTTTTATAATTTTTTTTATATGTGTGCCGTCTTTTGATTTAATACAAATTGCAATTTTAACTAATAAAAGAATTCAATATACTACACATTAAAGAACTGCGGATTTTTAGCAGAGCTATTTAAATCAACCTGGTAAACATCAAAAGGAGCTTTGGGTTCCATTTACTGACTGGAATTTTGTGTCTCCACTGCAGCAGCAATAGTGAGATTTCCTTGCTGTAGTTTGTGTCTCTGCCCCTCCCACATTGGTGAGATATCCCTGCAGTAGTTTGTGTCTCTGCTCCTCCCACAAAGGTGAGATTTCCCTGCAGTAGTTTGTGTCTCTGCTCCTCCCACAAAGGTGAGATTTCCCTGCAGTAGTTTGTGTCCCTGCCCCTCCCACAATGGTGAGATTTCCTTGCAGTAGTTTGTGTCTCTGCCCCTCCCACAATGGTGAGATTTCCTTGCAGTAGTTTGTGTCCCTGCCCCTCCCACAATGGTGAGATTTCCTTGCAGTAGTTTGTGTCTCTGCCCCTCCCACAATGGTGAGATTTCCCTGCAGTAGTTTGTGTGTCTGTCCCTCCCTCCATGGTGAGATTTCCCTGCAGTAGTTTGTGTCTCTGCTCCTCCCACAAAGGTGAGATTTCCCTGCAGTAGTTTGTGTCCCTGCCCCTCCCACAATGGTGAGATTTCCTTGCAGTAGTTTGTGTCTCTGCCCCTCCCACAATGGTGAGATTTCCTTGCAGTAGTTTGTGTCTCTGCCCCTCCCACCATGGTGAGATTTCCCTGCAGTAGTTTGTGTGTCTGTCCCTCCCTCAATGGTGAGATTTCTCTGCAGTAATTTGTGTCCCTGCCCCTCCCACAATGGTGGGATTTCCCTGCAGTAGTTTGTGTGTCTGCCCCTCCCACAATGGTGAGATTTCCTTGCAGTAGTTTGTGTCTCTGCCCCTCCTACAATAGTGAGGTTTCCTTGCAGTAGTTTGTGTCTCTGCCCCTCCCACAATGGTGAGATTTCCTTGCAGTAGTTTGTGTCTCTGCCCCTCCCACCATGGTGAGATTTCCCTGCAGTAGTTTGTGTGTCTGTCCCTCCCTCAATGGTGAGATTTCTCTGCAGTAATTTGTGTCCCTGCCCCTCCCACAATGGTGAGATTTCCCTGCAGTAGTTTGTGTGTCTGCCCCTCCCACAATGGTGAGATTTCCTTGCAGTAGTTTGTGTCTTTGCCCCTCCTACAATGGTGAGATTTCCCTGCAGTACTTTGTGTCTCTGCTCCTCTCACAATGGTGAGATTTCCCCGTAGTAGTTTGTGTCTCTGCCCCTCCCACAATGGTTAGAATTTCCTGCAGTACTTTTGTTCTAACATTTGTTAGTAGTTTGTTCTCCACTCCTTTGAAAAAGTTCCAAACAGCTGAACACAATACCAGAGGTTTACGCACACACAGACACGCACTGCCAAATTGACACAAAAATCTTCAGAGGGATACTCACAGGCCCCCAGTCTGACACAGTCCACTGCCGATCACATGGTGGTCCAGTACATTCCTCCTCAGATGGTGGCTTGGTGTTGGGATCGCACAGCTTCTCATCTTCTGAACAGCGCACATCCCTTGTGACAATAGTCTGCTCTCCGCATTTGGCTGTACACTGGAAGCAAAAAAGTTGTCACTGAATGCATGTCAGATTGTGTTTAGTTACCTATTTACAATACATAATAATAATAATAATTAATGATAATAATAATAAACCAGTCCTGTACAAGTACAGTTTGAGCAAACAAATCTGACAATGGAGGGGTCTTGTATTCTGTACAGCAGCCTATGGTAAACCATGATGGCCACTCCCTCTCCTTTCTTCCCTTAGTTCCCTTGCTTCCATTAAGCAGTGAGCTGATGTTGTGTAGTTGCATGCTGAAGGATACCAGCACCACTTCTACTTCTGCCTTCTTTCTCATAATCCTCTTTTCTTGCAAATACCGTATAGTGTTGGTATGGCTCTGCCATGCTTCAAAAAAGTCATATTGCCTTTGTTGCTTGTTTGGTTGCTGCTTGACAGCAAACTTGCAAACTTTGAGAACTTGCTATTGGCTACCATGGATAATGCAAAAGCCTGTACAGGCATTAAAGAATGACAGAACATAGTTGATGACATCCCAGCTGTCGGTGACCACTTCCTACCAGCAGCTTAAACCCTAACAGATCTCTACTCCTATGATGTGATTAAAAAAAAGTAAATACTCCCTGTTCTGGATGTTGTATTGTAGGGAAAGCAAATAGGGTTCTATTGGGGAAAAAAAATTGCATAGCTTATTCATCCACAGCATATTCATGGCAAGTATACACTGAGTGGCCAGATTATTATGACCACCCCATCAGTACTCCGTTGGGCCACGAGATAACTCCACGAGATGACTTCGTTGGGCCGCCTCGTGACTCCACAAGATGTTGAAAGGTGATGCGAGGAATCTGACACTGCACTGTTGCCCTTCTGTTGTCTTGTACCAGTCTTGCCACTCTCCGTTCTGCCCTAACATTGACTAGTCGCTGACGGCCACAATTCGCACGTTTAGACCCAGATTTTCGGCTGACAGTCCAGTCTTTAAACACTTTAACAATGAGCCCCTCTTGAACATTTAACAAATTCTGCTGTTTGGCTGATACTCGCTCCATGGCTCCGAGAGCCAACAATCATCCCACGTTCAAAGGCTGTTAAATCGCGTTGTTTACCCATATCTTCAGAAAAAAATCACTTCTACTGTCGTGGTAAACAACCTGCTTCCCTATTTATAATGGTCTGGCCCTCTAGCAACTTCAGCGCAAAATTATAGCTAATTATAGCTAATTTGCCTACAAACGTCAGGTGGTCATAATAAACTGGCCACTCAGTGTATTTGTTGTCTGTAAGTTAAAAAGCTGTAATGAGAATGGGTCAAAAAATGAATGGTCGGGTATTTTCCCTTCTGGTCGATTATTGTTCAATAGGCACAAAGGATCATAGGAAATAAATACATGTTACGATTAGTAGCAAGATACAATCTAAGAGAACACTGGAAGAAATGAGCATATAAATGTAACCATTGCTATCCCCATAGTATCAATGGTTACATTTATATGCTCCTACCCTCCAGTTGTCTCTTCATTTGTAACACTGTATCAAGTTCCTAACCTTCAGGCATGCATACAGATGATGTCTAAATGCGGCTCTCAGCATGACACCCTCCTAGATTGTGCTGTGTAGCCTAACTTCATTGTATTCTGAAGGGAGGCCTAGGGCCTTGCTGTGATATCTAGCCCAGAAAGATGGTGAGGTCAGTAAATAGGTGAAACATTTCCCACATTTTAATTTCCAGCTTCATCAATAAGCCCCTCATTTCATAGCCGTTCATACCCTGCATTTGTGTATTAGCTTCTACTGCAAGAAAAGAAGGCTTATGGCTGCACTGTTTGGGGCTGGGGGGTTTTGTTCATTTTTAAAACCATTACCTGCTTTCTTAATCAAATTCTACATACTGTGCTCGGCAAAACCATGCATACATGAATCACTGATAAGACATATCTGCAGATGTATTTATTATCCCTATAAAAGAGCCTGAAAACTGTGCTACAGGTCTGCACAAACATACGCATCGATATGAGACATCAAAGCCGCTTAGGAATAGCTTGAATCCTATAAACTAGCGAGCTCGAGAATAATCTATAGTGTAAAATAATTGACCTGCCGAATAGATATCGGTATCTTCAGAGGAACACGTTGTCGTGGAGGGTGGAAATGAATTCAGGAGAATAAGGTAATCAGCTGCTGGAGATGTTTAAATAATATTAAATAATGTTAAAGTACTTAAGAATATAAAGTAGGTCTGCCCGCTTCTTCGCTGGGGAAGAGACGTGCTCTAGGTAAAGTTTTAGGTAGAACATAGATAAAAAGTAACTCTTTATTTTAAGACAACTATGACCATCACCCACTAGGCAAAAACAAGTAAAGGAAAAACCTGCAACCTGATGCTCTTTCAGGTCTGCGGGTTTTAAGGTGAAAGCTGGACTTCAGGCTGATAGAAAAGACAACAGGTCTGTATTCATCAAAAACATAATTTAATGTATTATTTTAATACAAGCAGTGTACGTACCTTCATTTGATCGCCCCGTGTAATCAGCCAGAGAAGGAGAAGCAGCACAAGGAGTCAGTTAGTTGTGCTACACAGTTTATGTGTTAATAAGGGACATGTTGATAGGAAGAGAGCAGAGTGACCAAGAGATAAGCTTATCAGTCTTCTGCTTCTCTTTATACTGTCCAGTCACAGACTGGGGGAGAGACAATCCTTCAAGGGATCCTTAAAGTGACATTAAAGTTAAAAAAAAATCCCCCCCACCTTACATGATGCTTCTTGATCCGATCAAGTCCATCCAGCGCTCATGCGGGTCTTTGATCCACCGCAGACTCCTGTCTCTTCCTGTTCCACAGAGTCTGTGCGGGTGCGTGCTGCCTTCATTGACTTACCCTGTGTCTCTCCTCTTCTCTTGGCCGATGATCCTTTGCAGCCGCCCAAGAATCTTCAGATCTTTAGACGGGATCACACATTGGAGACACAGGTAAGTTTTAACCTTTTTGTTAACTTTTTTTTTTTCTGTGTCTTTGCATATATCTACTGCTTGCTAGTAGACTTGTGTGCCGTCAAAAAATGTGTTCCGTTTCGGAATATCCGTTATTTCGTATTTCGTAATTCGTATCCGAAACTCAATTCGAATTCGTACGAAATACGAATTTCCGTTAGTTTCGGCACATTTTCGTAACTTTACGAACATTCGTTATGATGAAGTTAAAAAGCAAAAATATCTTTGTTAATATTGGAGTCGATGTGGTAGTTGTTTTTTTAGCCGAAATACGGATTCCGGATCCGAATTTCGTATTTCGGACTTTAAAAAAAACTACCATCAACCCCAATATAAATGTACTTTGCTTTTTAACTTCACTATAACGAATGTTCGTAACGGAACGAAAATACGTCAACGGAATTTCGTATTTCCTGCCTGTATTGTAATGCAACTCTCAGCAGCAGAAGAGAAAACCTCTGATTGGTCAACCAAAACGAAATACGAATTCCGTTAACGGATTCCGTATCCGAATTTTGTATTTCGGAGTTTAAAAAAAACTACCATCAACTCCAATATAAATGTACTATGCTTTTTAACTTCACTATAACGAATGTTTGTAACGGAACGAAAATACGTCAACGGAATTTCGTATTTCCTGCCTGTGTATTGTAATGCAACTCTCAGCAGCAGAAGAGAAAACCTCTGATTGGTCAACCAAAACAAAATACGAATTCCGTTAACGGATTCCGTATCCGAATTTCGGATTTAAAAAAAAACTACCATCAACTCCAATATAAATGTACTTTGCTTTTTAACTTAAATATAATGAATGTTCGTAACGGAATGAAATTCCGTCAATGAAATTTCGTATTTCCTGCCTGTGTATTGTAATGCAACCCTCAGCAGCAGCGGATCTGTATTTCGGATTAAAAAAAAAATCTTGTCATGTTGTTCAACCTCATTTACAGGGGTAATATTAGTTCCTGTTTCAAAGAAATTCGGATCCGAAATTCGTTAACGGAATTTCGTATTTCGGATATAATTCGGAAACTGCAATTCGGATTTCGGATGCTTCCGAATTTACGAATTTCAGGAAAATTCGTACGAATTTCGATTCGTAACAAAACGAATCGCACATGTCTACTTGCTAGCACTAGATATATGCAGAAAAACAAGGGTTTAATTATCCTTTAACTGTAGGAGGGAAATATTAGGCCACATCCCTTACTAGACAGGGCTGTGCCGTGTGGCAGAGCTATATAAATCTCAGGGCTGGATGGAAAATACAAATCCTTTGGCAGGTAAAATGGTTCCCATAGGTTTATTTCAACTAGGGCTGTGGAAATGAACGATGAATTCCTCGATTAATCGTTAAAATTTTTGATCGATTACAATACTTTTGATCGCTAATGAAAAAACTCACCTGTCCGCCAGCTTCTGGGAGTCCCGTCGGAGATCCAGTGACGTCACGGACATCGACATTACCGGACTTCTCCACCCTTCACCCAAGTGGCTCCGTCGTCTAACGAAGGGAGAGGGGGAGGAGTCCGGTGACGTCGATGTCCGTGACGTCACCGGACTCCTCCCTCATTCCCTTCGTTAGCCAACGGAGCCACTTGGGCCGGTGAGTTTGCCCAAGAAACTTGTTCTGCCGTATCAATTTTTAAATAGGTTATACTTACATGTAAAGGGAACATCACTGTGCAGCCTGCCAATTGACATCGAACCTTTCTTCTACAATCTTCCCAGCTGGTCAGTGTGCCCACAAGTGTGGACCAAACTCCAAGGCATTGGCCTATACACATACAGCACAGCAATGAAGTAATAAAATGAACTAGGATCACACTAATCCAGCACGTTATTATTCTGAGTTGCCCCACTCAAGCGGCGGCCATATTGAGTGGGGCACGTGAGATTAATAACGTGCTGGATTAGTGTGATCCTAGTTCATTTTATTACTTCATTGCTCTGCTGTATGGGTATAGGCCAATGTAGTTGGATCTGTATGTGCGTTATAATTAATCGAAATTAATCGATTAAAAAAAATTTCGATTAATC